TGGCATCCAGTGTCCTCAGTGTCCGGGATGCCCTGGCAACTCTCGTGTCCTTAGGGACCGACACCTTGACCGATCATCCGACGGGGAGACCCCTCCTGCCCAACCTCCTCGTGTCCTCAGGGACCGATGCCTCGATTGAACATCCGACCCCCTCCCCACTTTGGATTTTTGAAAAACAGTTGGTTTTGAGAAAACGCAACTCAAAGTGTGGGAGATTCCAAGGGGCAAGTTGCGCACCCCCCTGGTTTTTACAAATCGACGATGACCCCCCTTATGAATTTTTCAAAAACACCTGCCCCCCGAGATTTTGACAATTTGAATTAAAGTGGCAAAAGTGAGATTAGTTTCAACTTTGTGATTGATTCCACTTTTTATAAAATAATGATGGTTTGAAATTTCAAAAACCCCGACCAAACTTTTGATGGAATCGATTCAATAACAGCCTTTTTGGATTTTTGAAAAACAGTTGGTTTTGAGAAAACGCAACTCAAAGTGTGGGAGATTCCAAGGGGCAAGTTGCGCACCCCCCTGGTTTTTACAAATCGACGATGACCCCCCTTATGAATTTTCAAAAAATGCCGGCCCCCCGAGATTTTGACAATTTGAATTAAAGTGGCAAAAGTGAGATTAGTTTCAACTTTGTGATCGATTCTACTTTTTAAAAAATAATGATGGTTTGAAATTTCAAAAACCTCGACCAAACTTTTCTGAATTTCAGATAGATTAGCGCCCCTATTCTGTACCCCAAATGCTCTTAACTTATGTCTACTTTATGCTTCAGCCTTTACAACTTTGACCTGAGTTCTGATTTGAGCTTGAATAATTCCTACTACCCAGCGTTACAAACCATTAACACCCCCTCTTCAGGCACGGCTACTGGGAGGTGCGCACCAAAGGGAAGCACTTCACGATGACCCCTGCCGAAAGTGCGGTGGCGGACTACGCATAGCCTAGGGAGCCCCATAGACTGGAGGTCAGGGTTAAGGGGGAGGAGCCTACCCCTAGGGGACAACCCCAGGTTAGGCCTCTACGAGCAGCCGACTGGGACAGGTGGACCCGAAGGGGCAGGTCTCCTAGGTCGAAGACCCTTGCCCAGGCCTTAGGCCCTAAGGCAGACGCCTAGGATCCTGGCCCAAACGGCAGATCCAGGCCCAATGCCTCAGGGGTTAGGTCCCAAGGGCAGGACCTTAGGGCCAAAATGCCCACGGACCTCGGGCCAAAAGGCAAATGCCCAGGCCAAAATGGCCCAAGGCAGAAGCCCCAGGCCCAAAGGCCCAAGGCAGGTGCCCCAAGCCCCAGGCCAAAGGCCAAAGGCCCAAGGGGCATACCCTAAGGGTTGAAGACCTTTATATTTAAAAATTATATAATAAATATAAAAAGAACAGTCCACTCACTTAAATCCCTTTAATAATACCCTCCTTACTACAACAATCCCTTGAAGTAAACTATGCCCCAACTACCATATCCCTTAAATTTATATCCCTACTCTCATCACCCTAATTAATAACCCCTACTACCACAATGTAAACTCCTACCACTATCCTGATGAACCTTACCCCTAGAACAATTAATCTCTTAACACTAGCACCCTTAATAATAAAATAATCTGGACTCCCACTAAGCGTCTTAAAAATAAACACCTGACTACCCTCAAGCCTACTTAACACCTCATTAGAATTAGAATAGCCTACTGTGCCACATCCTAAGCTGAGTACCCTACAACTTAAAAGATCTGCCCTTAGAAACTGTCAACTTGAGATGCCATTACGATAAATTAGACATAAGGACTGGGATGTAGTGATGGATGTAGAAGGTATGGTTCAATGTTTAAACTGAGGTAGCCAATAAATTGAATCAATGATAGCTGTTGACCCTACTACCATAAAGCCCCTGAGACAGCTAACCTCACCTTTGACCTGCCTACGAACACTCACCACAGGCACTGGAACGTGAAAATAGCTCTTAAGATAGCCTTGAATAAGTATAATACGACTGTCCTAACCCAATATAGTCTGCCACACCCTTGAAACTGTCAACTTGAGATGCCATTACGATAAATTAGACATAAGGACTGGGATGTAGTGATGGATGTAGAAGGTATGGTCCAATGTTTAAACTGAGGTAGCCAATAAATTGAATCAATGATAGCTGTTGGAGTCAAAGGATAAGGTGCCCTAAAAAGAAAATAAGCCTACCAAGCCCAAGCCTTGCGAACCAAAGGGAAGCAACATTGCACGGCCAACCCTGTCTGGAGGTCCAAAGACCGTACGACAGGAGGGCCAGGGGTGACCCCAAGGAGGGGAACCTAGGGACAGGCCTCTACGAGCAGCCGACCAGGGTCCAGGACGG